TATGCAGTACAGTGGCGCCTTGACTTACGAGTGCCCCAACTTATGAGTTTTCCAAGTTACAGGCAGTCGCTCAGTCGATTTTTTGCTTTGAGTTGCAAGCCAAAATCCGAGTTACTAGTGTGCTTCAGATACGCCACATCTGCCCAACATCCCAGCATTTTGTGCTTTTTGTGAAGTTATTTTGCCAAATTTCTTTTTTCTAACCATGGGTCCTAAGAAAGTAAGTGTACAACAGTACTGAGAAGAAAAGGATGATGTCCATTGCATTAAAGTATGAAATCATAAAAAAACACCAGAAAATTACTTTTGTTTCAGTGTTTTCCTTATGAAACTAGTGATCTAGTTCAGTTAGCCTTACAAACACACAGTTTTCTCTTATAATAAGACCTCAGAAGGGCAAGAATGGAAAGATATGGTCACAGCAATAATTATTTTTACCTCAGGAGTGGCCACCACCACTCATCATATAATGACATATTTTATTCATTCTAGAGTATATATCATGTTTCTATGTTATTTATATTGTTTATGTCATATTAGATCAATTGTGATAGATATATAGGCCGTAGAGTTGATATTAGCGTTATTTTGAAGTACACCTACCATCCGACTTACAACCTGCTCGACTTATGACCATTCGACTTACGACCGTGTTTTTTATGCCAAATTTCTGGGAAATAAACAACTATTTGTATTGTATACAGTGTTTATCCTAAACCTTAAAGTATAAAATACAGTACTAACAACATAAAAAGTAAAGTAAAACATGAAATACCAAAATAAAACAATAAAATAAAGTCATTACAAAAATGTTTTGTTGATATTCAGTAGTAAAGTTCGACTTACGACCATTTCGACTTACGACCGGTTTCTCGGAACCGAACTCGGTCGTAAGTCGGATGGTAGGTGTATCTTTCTCCTGCCTCCCGAGAGCCAGGAATTACACTGGAACGGATTAATGGCATTTCAATTAATTTCAGTGAGGAAAATTTATTTGATACATGAGCAAACTGAGTTACGAGATCGGTCACAGAATGAATTAAACTCGTAAGTCAAGGTACCACTGGACTACAAATGCCAATGTTATCCTTCAACTTTATTTTACCTATGTCAGATATCACTTGGATCATGTGGTACAGTCCTGGTTACCATACGTACTAATAAATAAACCAGTCTCCTTAAATACAGAGAAAAACATTTAAATTAATTCTGATCACTACAAAAAGCCATTTGACGAAACTAAAAACACTATTATGCTAAGTGATTAAAAACTTCCCTCCCCTCAATAGATGTAGTGAAGGGTGACAAGAATGAAGTGTACATGTGGATGATGTGGTTAATAATAGCAATATCAAAATGGTTCTGAAAATATCAAAAAGATAGAAAGACACACATGATTAAAACTAGATTAGAATTAATAATTAAACAAGTAAATACATACTGGCTTGGAAAAGGGGTTACCAACAAGTGGAAATGCTCAGGTACAAGTCGGCCCATGTCTTGGTGGCACGGCCCAACAGTTATACACTTCTGCCTTGCCTTAGAGAGAACTTTCCCTCCTATCTGTTGCTAGTCTTACAATACATAGTGGGACCTCTGGTCATGAATGCTTCCAAACATGAACAAATCAGTTCATGACCAAAAAATTCACCAAATTTTTGCATCTGGACACGAACACATAATTGGGTGCCAAACAAACACAACCACGCCAATTCTCACATTCCATGCCATGTTTTTTGCACACCAATTTTCTCCACTTCCTGTTGTTTGTGTACACCTAACAAAGACCCTTGTGATAAATTCAGATTAGCAATGTTTTATCAGCAGGTAGTGCACAAACAGCTGCTCATAGTGCCAGTACCCGGCTAGAGCTTGCCATACCTGGAGTGAGTTCCAGGGGTCAATGCCCCCGTGGCCCGGTCTGTAACCAGGCCTCAGGGTGGACCAGGGCCTTATCAACCAGGCTGTTACTGCTAGCTGCACGCAGTCCAACGTATGAACCACAGCCCTGCTGGTCAAGTACTGACTTTAGGTGCCTGTCCAGTGCCTGCTTGAAGACAGCCAGGGGTCTATTAGTAATCCCCCTTATGTATGCTAGGAGGCAGTTGAACAGTTTTGGGCCCATCACACTTACTGTGTTATCTCTTACTGTGCTAGTGGCACCCCTGCTTTTCATTGGGGGGACATTGCATCGTCTGCCAAGTCTTTTGCTTTTGTAGGGAGTGATTTTCATGTGCAAGTTTGGTACTAATCCCTCTAGGATTTTCCAAGTGTATATAATCATGTATCTCTCCTGCCTACATTCTAGGGAGTACAGGTTTAGGAACTTCAAGCTTTCCCAGTAATTTAGGTACTTTATTTCAGTTATGCATGTTGTGAAGGTTCTCTCTACATTTTCTAGGTCAGCAATTTCACTTGCCTTGAAAGGTGCTGTTAATGTGCAGCAATATTCCAGCTTAGACAGAACAAGTGACTTAAGAGTGTCATCGTGGGCTTGGTAAATATTTTTTTCCTCAGTTTTTTTTGGGGGCTATCTTATTGAAACTTGGGCTATGTATGATGGAAAGATGCTTCTTAACGTACACCAAAAATGAAAGAAATCGGATGATAAATGACGGAGTTCACTTCTCAGCCATTAGATGTCCCTTAAAAAAAACTGTTTACAGCAAATGGTTCATAGGGGTCCAGAACAGACTCATGCAATGTTAGTTTCCTCTGATGTTGAAGTTTTTCTTAGTGTTATTCAAGGTTTTTACTTTTAGTTTAGTATTACTTCGTGCATTCTATGGTATAATTAAATATTTTTGTGCTTAAAAAGCTTATAAAAACTAAATTTACATACAGTACTTAGGGGGTCTTGAATGGATTAATTGTATTTACACATAATCCAATGGAGAAACAAGGTTCGGGTCATGACCAAATCGGGAGGTGACCAGAGTTTTGGAACAGAACACGGTCATTACCAGAGGTTCCACTGTATTGTGTAGCTCTTGACAATGACGAGTGTGAAAGATCTTGAACTAAAGATTTCCATCCCCATGTGGCTTGTTCTGCATTGTAAAGACTGCCTGTGTGCAATTGTATGCATACACCAGGAGTCTCCCAGGAGGGTATTTCCCGGGATCAATGCCCCCACAGTCTGGTCCATGACCAGGCCTTCCAGTGGATCAGGCCCCTGATCAACCAGGCTGTTACTTCTGGCTGCATGTAGCCCAACGCATGAACCACAGCCGGCTGATCCGGCACGACTAAGGGATTCTGTCTAGTTCCCTCTTTGATGGCAGCCAGGGCTGCCATATATTTATATAATATATAAATATATTTATATAATACTATATAATATATAAATATATTTATATTATATATAAATAAGTGCAGGCACTGTACTTCCCATTTCCCCAGACTCAAGTCTGGCTAACTGATTTTCCTGAATCCCTTCACAAAATATTATCCTGCTCATACTCCAACAGCTCGTCAGGTCCCAAAAACCATTCTTCTCCATTAACTCCTATTTAAATATGTACATACAATACAATATATACTTATTAACACATCAGCCACTTCCCACCAAGGCAGGATGGCCTGAAAAAGAAAAACTTTCATCATCATTCACTCCATCACTGTCTTGCAAGCAGCGTGCTTACACTACAGTTATAAAACTGCAACATTAACTCCCTCCTTCAGAGTCCAGACACTGTACTTCCCATCTCCAGGACTCAAGTCCTGCCTGCCAGTTTCCCTGAATCCCTTCATAAATGTTACCTTGCTCACACTCCAACAGCATGTCAATTTCTAAAAATCAATTGTCTCCATTCACTCCTATCAAATATGCTCACGCATGCATGCTGGAGGTCCAAGCTCCTTGCACACAAACCTCCTTTACCCCTCTCCCTCCAACTTTTCCTAATATATATATATATATATATGTACCAATGTGGCAAAGCCACGTTGGTACATAATTTACATATATTATATGTAAATTATGTACCAACGTGGTTTTTGATGGGTGGTATCAATATTCTTGCACATTAAATTCATTTAGCACTGTGTCCATGAATGCATCTTAAAGTATTGACAACAATATTTTCTGAGAAATATGGATACAAAGGCAATAAAATATTTGATAGATATTGGGATCAGAAATTTTTCCAGATTTGAAAAGATCAACCAACCAACAAATAAGCCTAACCTAACCAATGTTTCTCTTATATTTAGAAAAAAAATAAAAAACATGGTTTCTTAAGCACTATTACTCATTAACTATTTATATATTACTTGAATCCAACCTGCCAATGCATTTACTTTACAAAGGTAAGAAACTATCAAAATCCTTATATACATTTATAATACCAATTCAACTACTTTAAACAACCATAACCTACAAAATGTTGCAGGCAAATTGTTATATTACAGCCAGGGCGAATTCTGAGGCAAGATATACGCACCTCAGGAACATACCTAGCATTATATGATAAAATTAAACACTGACGACAAAACACCACAAGCACAGCTCTGCACTTGAACCTATAAATACATAATACCATATAGGTAACCATGTTACCAATGTCCAATGTTCCAAAATTGGTAATCGCATCACCTTGGGTTAATTGGCTACAAATAGGTAACCACAAATTGGTAATCGCACCCCCCCCCCTATGGCTAATTTTCGAAGGGCACCGTATCAAACCAGGGAACAAGGGCGACGTTCTGATGTGCCCAGCACCACAGGTCATCCTGCCGCTGGGGTGAAATAACAAGGAAACGAGGGAGAATGAAGGAGAACGAGGGAGAATTGTTGGAGATGAGGGAGGCCCGGGAGGGTGAGGGAAGGCCGCGCACCTTCACTTCCACCACCACCCGCCAAGACATTTCCTCCATTCTCGCCTTCATCTCTCCCTTTCCTCGGCGGGCGTCGCCGCAGCAACTTACCCCGCAGCTGCCGCAGTGCCCGTGGCACCCTGCGGCACTTCACACAGAACAAAAAAGGCTGAAATACTCGCCTAAATAAACAAAAACATTGAGCTGTCTGGGTGGTGGGATGCCGGGTAGACGCGCGTGGGGCACACAAACATTGAGCCACGGCTGCCAACCCTCCCCTCACACTCACACTCAACCCCTCACACACTCAACCTCACACTCAACCCCACACACTCAACCAGACTCACACACGCATTATATCTCACCTCCTAGCCACTCCTTCCAATTAAGGATGAAGGAATGTTCGAAAAATATCTATTGATTTTGACGTGGCACCACTGTTATCATAGAGAATGGTTGGTCGACAATTTTCTATGATCCTCACATGGCCAAGAACTTCAAATACTTGGGTCAAATATTCATAATTTCTCACTGGGACAAATTTCAGCAATTTTAATAGGTGCATTCACTTAAAAAAGGTAACTGAGACGAGTTTTAGACGAAAATATGAGAGGCAGTGATGAGTGGAGGGCAGAGAAAAGGAAAGACGTTACGTATTAGGTTTCCGTGTCAGCCTAAAATGTTGATATTCCACCGGAAATGAACTGTAAAAAAAAAAATGGTTCATTTCCAGTAGACATTATGCACTCTGATCATCATTTCAAAAATACTTTTTTCAATGTTTTTTTTTATGCTTTAAACCCAAAGAACCCCCCAAATTTGGAAATTTCTGTTCTCATAACTACTACCTTGTTTTTTTTGGGTTTCCCGTTCTTACTATATGGCTTTTTTTTTGTAATCTATGTAACTGTTTTGTGTATACCTAAAAAAACTTATTACTATTAAATTAATATAAAAAATCGCTAGCAACAAAAAAAATAGTCAACTGCCCAAAATTTCCCATTGATTTTTTAGTTATATTTTTTTTTTTTAATTTTAAAAGCTAATGTAGCTCGTTTGATGAAATTGTTTTTGACAGCCCCTGTAACCATTGAAAATACTTCGTGAAAAAATATAAAATGAAATTATTGTATGACCGGCCCAGTATGTGTCTTTGAACAGTGTGTTGCTGAAAAAACAGCAGATTGACACGCCATCAACCAGCGCCGATTGGGACCGGGCACGAAGGCATTAAACTAGGGAATCACAGCACATACAACTGTAATTTTTTATCTAGCATATTATTTTTTTTTGGGTGGAAGTTACTGCATTTTTCTTTTTCACATATATATGTTTTTATCCCGAATGATGGGATAAAACAACATGAGAACTTCTACTGAATATGTTTTACCCCCAAATCCTATCCCCAAATGGTATTTGTAAACCCACAACCGAATTTCCCTTATTTTACCCTCGAAGGCCTCCCTTGAAGTTTGACTTTTTTCTTTCCCCCAAAAGCTTAATTTTCTATTTCTTTTTAAAACATGGGAAATCTCATCCGATGGCTTCAAATTTTACCGTGCTGTTGGTGACTAGGGAAAGGGTTCATGCCACTATTGAAATGGGCAGGTCCCCGTGAGGGAGCTTTAAAACCCCTTTCCCAAATTTTTGGGAAATGGGTCCGATAGCTTTTAAAAGCCTCTTCTGCATGGCTTCAAATATTCATACTTTTGTATCACACTAACGCATTTTTTGTCATTTTATGTGTATTTTATGTGTTTTTTTTCCAAAATTATATTATGGTGGATAATTAAAGGGTTTCGGTCGTGACCCGGGGCGAACCCTGCAGAACCCGGGCCTGGCGTGCCCGGGGCGAGGCCTGGTCAAGAACCGGCCGCGGGGGCGGGGGACCCCCACGAACCTTTTCCCGGGGTCCTCCCGAGATAGGGAAGCCCCATTTTGAAAATTTTAGTGTATGATCTTTTTTTCAATAACAAAAGAATGTTCTTCTGATCTAATTGAAAACATTAATGTATATATTCATTAACAGGACTGATCCCCACTAAGTTTAGTCCGAGTAAGTACAAATTTAACATTTTACTGAGTTAAAAACTTGGAATCATTGAAATCAGATCCATTACTAGAGAATGCCTCTACTGATCGGTTTCAAACTTTCAATGTTTATAGACTTTATTACCAAAAAAAATCAGCGTTCATTTTGATTGATAAATTTCGATTTTTCACTTTCATTAAATAACTAGGAAATGCCTCTTCTGATCGGCTTCAAACCCTATGTGGAAAATACTGTATATATTTTCCGGAAATATGGTAATTTATAGGTAAATAGATGCCCTATATTGTATTTTTAAAAGAAGTTTCGAAAAAAAAAAAGGGACTCACCTTCTTGGTTTTAAATTTTTGTACAAAACGTTGGTGTAAGGGAAAAGAATTTTTCGTGCTTGAGGTTAAAATTGTGCTGACCTCTAAAATAGGGGCAAAAATTGTTGGACATGCTTTCCGCTAACTTGAGATATGGGACGACTGGAAAAGACACCCCGGGAAACCCTCGAAAAATCTCTAGATTTGTGTATAATCGGGCCCAGTGTTTTCATAAATTTGTTAGTGGGGTTTTTCTGATATGATCATTTAATATCAGCAAATTGGTGAGTGATTTAAATTTTTTTTCCCTTCTGTTATGTAATTGTGTGTATATATATATATATATTATATTTATTTTATTATATTTATTAATATTTATATATATATTATATTTTAATAATTTATTTTTATAATATAAAAAACCATTTTTTTTTATATACATCCCAAATTTATTATTTCCCAGTTTTCTTGGTGTATGTATATTTCATTTAATTAATAGGCCCAGAGCAACTTGGGGTTTATGCAGTGGTAGGTATCGAAGGGGGAATTTTTTGCGACCTAGGTGCCCCAAAATTTCCCTACTTGTCTATGTAACATTGAAAAATAAAAATTACTTTGTTATCATTTACTGTTATTACATAATTATTTACATAATAAATGAATTTTCCACTTTTAAATTTTCCCCTTTGGGCCCTTTTTAAACCCTGAGTAATTAGTGAAGCATTAATTGTTAATTTATTAAAAATTAATTGAAATGACAAAAAGGAGTGGAGTTAAGTTCACAAATTTACTTAATTGTAGTGAATTAAAATTATTCAATATTAATTTGGATAAGAAAAGTGTACAAATTTATGAAAAGTGTTAATATTAAATTTGCAAAACCAAAGGGGCCTGGGATTTATTTTAAAAGTATTTGTAAAATTTAAATTTTATAAGACAATTTGGCCAAAGTTTTAATCAGTGTTGGAAATTTTGTAACCCAAGGGTTTTTGCTAATTATATAATGTGTATAATTTTAAATTTTGCTATGCCTATTCGGCAAGGATTATTTTAATTTGTGTAATATTAATTTGAAAAGCCAAAGTTTGGCTAAAGGTTTGTAAAAAGTACATTAAAATTTTATAAATTTCTAATGAAATTCCCTAACTAAATATGGATTTTTTCAAAGGCAAGTTGTACTATTTACCTTTTAAGTGTATAATTTAGTACATAATCAGTGTTTTAAATTGAATTTAATACATTGCACATGGCTGAAAATGAGGAAATTAATGTAGAAGACAAACATGGGGAATATAGGAAAAAGAAAGCATCACTACAGGCTAGGAAAGTTCTGAACCCAAAGGGCATAAAAAAGTGCTTGGAATTAATAAAATCAAAAAATGGAATATGTGATTTAAAAATTGTTTTTTAATGCTTTGGGAAATAGATATGATTATACAAATTATATTACAACAAATATAAAGGAGTTTGTTATTTAAACTTTTTGTAGATGAGGACGAGAGACGTATTATAAATTAGGGGGAAAAGATTCTTTTTTGTAAAAGTAGGCCTTGAATAAATTAAAATGTTGTAAACAGGCGGGTTGGTCAGTCTGCTCCACAAATAATATTCTTTGCCAAAAAACTCCCAGAATTGTTTTTCCCTGTTTTAATCCTGGAGAAAATTGGGAGGAATTTTGGTCAATTTTTAAAACACTTGCATGATGGGAATGATCTAGCCTGTGTAACAAAAATTATTTTTCCCTCAAAGGACATTTAAGGGGAGATCTCACATACTCATACAAGCCTTTCCCATAAAAATGACCTTACAAGAAGCAGATGACTTGTTGAAAGTCATTTTTGGGTTATGAAAAAAGTAGGTTGGATCTAGTAAATATCATTGTTAAATTTAAAATCTCCAGATCACACTTAAAAGGTTTAAAACATTTTTAGATTTAAAAATGAGAGCCTCTAAAAAACTTTAAGAAATTTAAATATATTAAAGGGATTCAGACTGATTATTAGTGCCATGGTACAGAAAAAAATTAAAACTGTAAAAACACTTGAAGGCTTCGAATAAATTTTTCCAAAGGGGTTTATTTTGGTTGGAGGAAATAAGACTAGGTTCTAAATTATTGTTCAGTTGAACCAGCCAACTAACTCATTTTAAAGTGCAACACATAAAACCTGAGGTATCTGTCGTTTCACAAAGAGAAAATTTTATCCCAATGTTGTTAATCAAAATTTTTTTCCCAAAAAGATTTTGCATAGGTCATATCAAGTAGCGGAATCAAAAATAAGATTTAAAAGGGGTAAAAAGAATAAGTACCCTCCTAAGAGTAGCCCAGTTAATAAGAAACCAGTCGAAAAAGAGAGATTGTTTTTTTGCAAGGGGGCTCATTTTTTTAGAAATTGCAATGTTTCAATTCATGGAATGAAAAAGTTGGAAAATTGGAGGAACTGACAGATGTATCAGATGTTTTGGTAACACAAAGTAAAGGATTTTTTGCCCAATTTAAAATTCTGTATCAATGTCACAAAGGGAAAACACCATATAGTATGTGTAAGGGTCTATTGATTTTAAATTTTATAATAAGAAAAGTTTTACAATCCCGACACAACTTTGCAATGTAAAAAAATTTCTGAATGTTAATAATGATGGTTTTGTGAATAGCCCTTTCCCGTGTTACAGGTTAAAAATTGATGATAAAAAGGGATAAAACAAAAAAGGGAAATGCTTATTGGAGAGGGATCCCCGCGACTTTCATAAAAGTAAATGCTTGATGGATGAAGTACGTGGGAGATCCCAAAATTTAAAAAATATCTGGTTTTTTCTCGGATAAAAGGGCTCATTGAAGACCTGTTATGTAAATGTAGGTTTGGGAATGAGAAAAAAGTGTTAAGCGTATTGTAGATAGACTTCCAGATAAAATTCTACAGTAGGGGTTAGTAAAGCCTCAGAAAGACTTTTTACATAAAGAAAAAACACCTTCTGGGG